TATATTTGGATCAGCCCACTCAAGTTCCTGTTATATGTGAATAAATAATTCCCAGTTAAAATACGATATACCTTCGGGGTATTTTTGTTGTTGTTTTTTTTGTTTTGTGTTTGTTTGTTTGTTTGTTTTTGGCAGAATAGTAGCAGGTACTTAATACGTGTCGAGCTGAATTAAAGTTACGTGTTTTCCTGAGTTCAACTTATCTAAGTAACCTGTCATACTGATTGACTTTGATATATGTGGTTATTTTGATTGATATTATTTTAAAATTACTATTCCTCAATATAAAATGTTTGCTTGTTTAAACAGTTTAGGAAACAAATTTCATTTTAGTCTATTTTTCTTATTTAATTAGAACATGATTGCTTTCTTTCCTCCCTCCTACTCTTATGTCTGACACTCTATTCCTTCCCAAATTCATGGTCTCCTCTACTTTAAACATTATTGTTACATATACATCATATACATATACATACACATACACATCATACACACTTATCATAAAATACAATCTGCCAAGTCAAATCAGTTCAGTTCAGGGTTGCTTGCACGTGTGTTTCAGTGCCAGGCACTTGGGATTGGATAACCAGTTAGAGGGCTCATCCCAAGGCAAGCCTAATTCTCCCTCTCAGCAGTTGTTAACTGTCAGAGAGTGGGTCCCAGTGAGATTCCCCTCATCTACACTGGGATGTCAACTGTCCCTGGAAGTGTTCAGGTCTAGTTTAGGTTGCCATGTTGTTGAGACTTCATGGTTGTAGCTACCCTGTCATAGCTAGAAGGCACAATCTCAAAGCAGTCTTCCTGGTCTTACAGCTCTTACACTTTTTCTACTCTCTCCTCCAGAATGTTCCCTGAGCCTTGGGTGCTGAAGATGTGTTGTGGATGTCAGCAATTGGGTCTGAGCACCCCAATTAGTTGCTTACTGCATTTTGACTAGCGTAGCTTTCTGTCAAGATCTGTTGGGGATGTAGTACATTTACACAATGGAGTACTACTCAGCTGTTAAAATCAATGACTTCATGAAATTCTTAGGTAAATGGATGGAACTAGAAAATATCATTCTGAGTGAGGTAACCTAATCACAAAAGAACACACACAGTATGCACTCACTGATAAGTGGATATTAGCCCAAAAGCTCGCAATACCCAAGATACAATTCACAGACCACATGAAGCTCATGAAGAAGGAAGACCAAAGTGTGGGTGCTTTGGTCCTTCTTAAAAGGAGTAACAAAATACTCATGGGAGCAAATATGGAGACAAAGTGTGGGGCAGAAACTGAAGGAGGGGCTGTCTGGAGACCATTCCACCTGAGTATCCATCCCATGTGCAGTCACCAAAGGTAGACGCTGATGTGGATGTCAGGAAGTACATGCTGACAGGAGCCTGATATAGCTGTCTCCTTAGAGGTCTGCCAGAGCCTGACATATACAGAGGCAGATGCTCACAGCTAACCATTGAACTGAGCATGGGGTTCCCAATGGAGAAGTTAGAGAGAAGACTGAAGGAGCTGAAGGGGTTTTGCGGCCCCATGGGGAGAGCGATACCAACCAACCAGAGCCCCCAGGGTTTAAACCACCAGCCTGGGAGCACATAAGGAGGGACCCATGGCGCCAGCTGTATATGTAAGGGAGGATGGCCTTGTTGGGCGTAGGTGGGAGAGGTCCTTGGTCCTGTGAGGGCTGGATGCCCCAGTGTGGGGGAATTCAAGGGTGGGGAAGTGGGAGTGGGTTGGTGGGGCACATCCTCATAGAAGCAGGAGGGGGGATGGGATAGGGGAGTTCTGAGTGGGGGGGAAATGGAATAACATCTGAAATGTAAATAAAATATCCAATAAAAAATTAATTAAAATTAAGAAAGCGTCTTTGATGAAGGGTGAGATCTGTACTTATCTGTGGCTACAGAATTAAGAATTTAGAATGCAATTAGGAATTATACTGGTTAAGGAAATGGAGGGAACAGGCCTTCCTCTAAGATCTACAGCCGCAATATTTATATGCAGTCAGCTGTTTACAGCAACAGACATGATTTCCCTCCTGCTAATCAGGCCTCAGTCTGATTGCATTACTGTTGGTCATTGTCAAAATGTGAGGGCCAGTACTGCACCTTTGGGGATATTCTGGCATGCTGGTCATTGACCTGGTTCTTAGGCATCATAGCTGGGTAGGTTCATAGAGTTTAAAAAGCAAACTTTCTCAAACTTTCAGGGTACTGGGGATGTTTGTGTCATTTTATTCTATTTCTAGATTTATTGCTTACAGTTGAGAAGAAACTGTTGCTGTATTGTTTCTGCTTGTGAAATCTTTTCCTGCTTTCCTTTAGGCATTTCCTGTACTAATTCAGATGTCTGGTCTTCTCCAGGAAAGATAGCCTTCCATGGAGCTGTTCAAATTTCTTTTATATTTAGATCTAAATGGAAACCTTATTTTCTCATTTTTCAAACTATTTGAAAGGTATATATTCTATCTGTTGCCCTGTATGGTGGACTCCTTTCATACCTGTAAAGACAGTGGTGTGTGGAGAGCTTTTGGGGCTGCTTGGCATGAATCTGACATTGGCCAAGGACAAGGAAATGGGCTTTAGGCAGGAATCTGACTTTGGAGCATGACAAGGAAGTGAGTTCTGGCAGGAATCTAATTTTAGGCTAAAACAGAGAAGTAATTTCAGTCAGGAATCTAAGTCTTAGGCTAGAACAAGGAAGTAGGCTTCAGGCATGAATATGACTGTGGGCTAGGACAGGGAAGTAGGGTTTTATCATCCTGATGAGCCCTTAGAAACAGTGACCTTGAGAGTGATCACGTGAGTGATCACAGGACTTTGTTTATTGCCTTATTTGTTCCTTGATTATATGCATCTATTGTGTTGCTGGTTCCTCAACCTAGAACTGACCTAAATACTTGCATGTAATTAAAATGGTTTAAAAGAAAATTGAGAAAAAAAAATAAACCCACGTCAGCCTTCAGCCTCAGAACTGGCTGGGGTCATGCTGCAATATTGCCTAATCATCTGTTTTCTTTTTAATCCTCACTCCTGAGCTGACTCCTGCGCTGGAGAAGCTGTTGACTGACTGACTGGCTTGGTCAGTGGTGATAGTACATATCTATGTTCAGATATTGTACTGGAATTAAATAAGTTAACACATGGGAAAAAACTTAAAATTGTGCTTTGAGTATAGAAAGATCGTAAATAACAGGACCAGGTACTATCTTCTTTTATCTGAACCCAAGGTCTCGCTTTACTAACATTTCATTTTGATAGAGATAGTGGTTTCCAATGACCCTAACTTCATTCTACCTAAGAAACCACAGGGCAAAAGATGAAGAACAAAGGGGAACAAAATAAAAGTCTCTTGAACCAGAGAGCTCACATGTATGTACATGTGATGTAATGACGTCATGGAGGATTTCCTTCACAGAGAGCATCAAGTGTGCTCTAACATATTCTCCAGGCATCTGAGAGAATGTGTACAGCTGCTGCCGACTGGTGTTTCCTGTCTAAAATTCTAAGAATTTATCGAGGAACATTTTTCATTTTTCCAAACTTATCTGTCTCTCCTGCCAAATCTCCTAGGCCGGGTCTTTCATTTCTTGTTCTGCTGCTGCACATAGGTGTCTGACACAAACAATGAAGCACAGCGTGAGTTTTGTAGCGACCAAAAGCTTTGGTTTTAGAGATCAGATGGTCAAATTCTTCTTCAGCCACTCAGTAGTTAAGGGCTTTAAGATCTACTTGCGGGTTCATGTATCTGTAGAGTGCACCTTTCTTGGGGCCGGCTCAGTGGTTAAGAGCACAGGAGTTGGATTCTCAGCTCACAATGATCTGTAACTCCAGTCCTAGAGGATCTGACACCCTCTTCTGGCCACTTGGCCTCCGCAAGCACTACATGTGTACACACGTAGTACACAGGAAAAACCATACACATAAAAAACAAATATAAAAATAAAAAAAAAATGCTGTCCGAGAAGAAAAAAATAAAAAACGTAAACTTAGGAAGCTGTTATAGATTCAATGCGCTATAAAGCATGAGAATTAGCAAGTGGTGCTTAGTGATTCTTTTAGTGAGGCAAATTTAAATTTGTATGGGGGATTATTTATTCTTACTGCAGATTTATCAAAAATAATGACAGCAGTCCCTCCTCCTCTCGGTTCTCAAGATAATATCTTAGTAAATATAATTTTGAAACAACCCGATTTTCAGAGTTCAGACTTGAAAGTATCACATTAGACCGATAACTTCATAGCTAGGATAAATGTTTCTCTTGTTCGAGTAGACGAAGATCAGAGAACACTGAGGCTGGCTGCCAAACACCTCTCCTCTGCTTTCAAGGATGTTCTCTGAACTTTCTTATCTGAAGACAAGAAAAACCGTTTGGGTAAAGGTCAATTTACACTGCGATGGAACGGTTTAGTTTTACCCTCCAGCACCAGGCTAGACAGCAAGCAGAAGATGGGTCATCCTCAGAAAGGGAGATGTTTCTCACCAGACTTTGCAGCTCGTCTTAGCAGCATCTGATTTGGGATCTTCACAATGGAGACTTTGGGCCCTTCTCCCTCAGCACTATCCCTCATTTGTTATTTCTCCCCGCAGCCTTGCACAAAGGTTTTACAATCAATGGGCCATGGCACACTGTCTCTGATACAAGCCCACAGGCTCACCCGTAGGGAGGGAACTCTGTCTGGCTCCGGCCAGCCCACTTGCACGCGGGATCGGTCCATCCTCGGAGGCCAATCGGCTCCCTTCACGCTGAGGCGCCAGCCAATCCCAGCGAACACACGTTACTCCACCAACATTCCACGGAGGTCCCCCCCAAAGGGTCCGCGTGGGGCGGGGCTGAGGGCGTTGCTCGCCGTGATCTGAGCAGCCTGCTGCTTTCTAATTGGCTGTGGCTGGAAGGCGCCCCGCGCCCATTGGCTGCTGCCAGCCGTGCTGGGCGGTCCGGAAAACAGCTTGCTGAAACGCGCGGGGTTGCTGGAGCTGTGAGCGACCTTTTTCTGGAGTCGGAGACTGCCTGCCATCCTCCGGTACCGGACAGGAAGGAGAAGAGTCGACCGAGCGAGGTCGAGCGGGGCCGAGCGAGGCTGAGCGTTTCCTGGAGCTGTCCCCTGCAGAGGGGAGAGAGATGGCTGACCCTGAGAGCCGGTGGTCACAGAGTGGCAGGTGAGACCGGAGCCGGACTGGAGCTGCCGCCGTTCAAGGGCCGTGAGCCCAGCAGGCCTCAGTTTCCTCATCTGTTAAATGGTAACAGTAGTCGCGGTCCCCGGGCTGTGGGGAAAGTCCCTAGGAGCATGCTCCACGGAAACTCTGCAAGGGACAACTCCTCTCATGAAGCTTCCACGGGGACAGGGTCCTCAAGAAACACTCCCTCAGTCCTCAGTAGCTTGCAAATCCATGGTTTAACACAGGCAAGCTACTGCTGCGGATTTCCTTCGTTTCCGCTTAGGGGAGATTATTTGAGGTTTGGGGATTCCGGAGCTAGGAAAGCAGTTAAATACACTGTAGAGGCTAGGCTTGGGCGAGTCTCTGGATCAGCTTTCAGAGTTTGTTTTTCAAGATTGTCCTGTAAACTCAGATCAAAGAGCTTGCTTTGGAATTTCTGTTCTCTTGTTTATTTGCCTTTGGGATCTTGAGCAAATAACTTTTCCATTGCAGTATCTCCTTTCTGTAAAGTATCGATACAGGATGAACTCTTAAGGCTGTCATGAAACTCAAATGAAACAACACCAGAAAGACTAAAATTACCTGAAAGACTAAGCACATAGTATGACATCACTACTTTAAAAACCATTTTAAAAGAGTGAAGGGCATTTAAGACTCATACACTACATTCCAAGTTCAGGTTATGGTATAATTAGGGTGTAAATATTGTGTTATGCATTGTAAAGAATGTTAACCTTGTCATGCTGTGCATCGAGGTGAGACCATTTAAAAGAGGGCCATTTTACTCTTCACAGAAGTGTGTGCTCACTAAACCGAGCAAGAGCCAGTCTCAAAAATGGAAAGCTACTGCTCTTGACTTGACTTAGAAAAGTTAATTACTGGCTCAAGATAGGTTGGAGATTTAGCGTTTGTTAACATTTTTATGTTACAGTGTATAATTTAATAAGGCCTTAGTTTGCTATCTTGTCTGTGGCTTGTTAAATTGGCACGATTCACATAAAAGCTATATTAATTGAATACTGGAAGGTTAAAAGTTCTGATACAGAGAACCTCTAATAAAGTGTGCTAAACTACAAACGAACAAATAGCTTGTGGGGATTCTATAAGTATTTTCTTTTCAATTTTGTGTATGTGTGTGAGTGTAGGTATACACATGACAGAGCTCGTGTGCTGCATGTGGATGTCAGAGAACAAGGGGGTCACTTTGGGGAATCAAACTTAGGCACTTTTAATCACTGAACTGTTTCCAGGGTCCTAAAATGTCTTGCGTTTAAAAGGAAACTTATTGCCATTTCATTGTGGTGTGTAATTGAGAATAACTGGAATTGTTAGTCAGGATTTTGTTGCTAATACACAGCATCAAGAAAATCTTTCCAAGCCCCAGTAGTTTCCATTCAAGAAAATGTGGACACAGGAAAACATCAACATAAGGTTAGCTTCAAAAACTGTGTAAAACAGAAAATAATTAACTCTTGGCCTGAGGATTAACAAGATTAATGACCTTTAGTATGGAGGGCTTAGAGTTTGTGTAATTAGGCAGTGCCTCTTATCTCTGTTATAGTTGGAGAAGTTCTTGATAGAAGATCAAGAAAGGAAAGGATTGAGTTAATGAGAGGAAATCCAGTGTGATATGTAAAACCATTCCACGGTTGAAAATTGCAGGAGGGTGAACTGTGTGCTTGGCTTCCAGTTGATCCAAGCACCTGCTTCTGTCAAGAGAGGCCTGAAACCTGGCCAACTGCAGTCCTGTCTTCCTTCACTCTAGACTGTGTTTTGAGAGGGGCTCCAACAAACACATTGCAGCTTACACCATTACCACTATTAGCCTGGACTTCCATGCAGGAATTCACCGCTGAGTGAAACACTTCAAGGATTAAAAGAGAACTTTTGATGTTATTTTTACTTCAATCTCTGTTCGCTTCCTTCTTCAGCATGCTTAAGGAGGCTGCTAATCAGAGTTTCTAAGTTTTACGTTTATACTTGTCTTTTGGAGATTTATTTGAGGGATGGAATAAGTCAAGTCTGAGAGCAAAAACTGGATCTTATTTATTTCCACTGTTTAAATTGAATGTATGCTAGATACTGGTGAACAGTAGCTTCCCCTGGAGAAGCTGTTCATCCATATGGTAATTTTGTTGTTGTTGTTGCTTGTCAGTTCAAAAATGATTGGCATAAGTAGCAATGCATATTTTATTCATTAATTTTCTATAGCATACTAGTCAGAAGAGCACAACCCTGAGTAGCAATATTTTATGCCCCCAAAGACTCTACAGCTAAATGGTAGAGTGTAAGAGATTAGTTACAGTGTGGACTGTAAGAAAACGCCGGAGGGGAGCTAACCAAGATTCTAGGGCAGCCCCTCAACAAAACACAGAGATGAGACAGTCAAGCTCAGCTGCATGAAAGCGGCGTCAAAGGCTTGGAAGTGCGTTGGTGAGCACATGGCAATGATTACCAAGACAAACGTCTCCAAGTTCCAGATTCTTACCTTTATAGGCAGCTTGTATTGCTTATATTCCTCTCCTGGCTTTGTACAAGCTAATGCTTGGTTATGATAATAGTGGCTTCCCAATCTATTTGATTCCTATCAAATAATTTTGAGAAAAAAGAATAAGAGTCCTCATCTGCCGTCCACAGGAAGCTAGCAGGAGACCTTTGGGTTTATAGACTGTGGCTTAATCACAATGATCCCACTACTGGGTAAGTGTCTTTTATAAGCTCTCCAAGACTTTGCACTTGTTTATAGCCCAGCCTTGAAAGAGGCCATTGTACTGGCTGTCAGGTTGGCTCCTGAGTGGCTTCGTGTATTCTTGACTGGTGTTTGGCATGAGCTCACCCACTTTCTGTTGATGGGTGGGATCTGTACTTCTACAGTTTACATCACTTTTTATGGATCTCAGGTTTTAGGGTATTAAGTTTTTCATGTATGCTTTCTCATCTTTCTACTCAATGTTAGTGTTTGAGGTTTCTGTACTCCACATTGTGATATTTAAATATTGGCTACAGCTTTGATTTATTCCTGTAACCTTTAGGTTTTAGATCAGTATGTTTCAGCTCTGGTTGGAAGTCAGAGTTGTTAATGAAGCTTCCTGGTTTTGTTCTTTTAGTGATTCAGTGGTTGTATAGTGGGCAGCTTTCCTGTTAACCTTATACAGGTAGAAAGAGTAGGGAGGGACACAGTAGGAATTATGCTAAGAAAATGGAATCAGCATCAAAAGATGGTAAAAGATTGTTGGATACTGATTCTTGGGTGTGGGAAAAAAAAGCCCTTTCAGCAGTGATATGAAGCCTATTGTGTGCCGCATGGTGTTCTAGGTGAGTGTTAGTGGAGCATATGACAAAACCCACAACGCTGGTATTAAAATCCTACTGCACGTCACATAGTGTTGTAGGTGTCACATAGTGTTCTAGGTGAGTTTTAGAGGAGCGTATGATGAAGATGCTTTCCTACTAGTGAGGCAAGGTGGTAAAGAGTAGACTCATGTGCGAGCACATAAATCAGCTTCAGACACTGCTAAGCATGGTGCGGAATGAAAGATTTAAGTTACTTGAGAAGTCTGGGGCAGGGGCAGGCGCTTCAACTGCAGTTGGCGTTGTACTTTGTTAGTTCACACTAAGATTTGGAATCCAGCAGTCTAGGCAGAGAAGTCCCAAGTCCAAAGGTCAAAAGTCTTGACAAGCTTGGCCTGAGGATCACAAAGCCCTAGGAAATGGAACCCTAGGCAGTGGGGGACGGTGATACGAGTAGAAATCTCTGGTGATCATTCAGGGTGATTCCCAGCCTTTTGGTTTGAGAATCTGGGCTCACTTGTCATTTTAATAATAAATTGCTAAGAAAATGCTGGACACATAGAGAGGTGGCATCAGATCAAAGTAGGCCTCTGGATGTGGACTTCGGAAGTGCTTGTCGAGCTGAGAATGAGAGGACCTCTTGAGCACAACAGCCTATAGATGAGAGAGCCACCTTCCCGCTCTCCTGCCGTTTGTCTCGTCTTTATGATTTTATATGAATGATTCTATGTAACAGCCCAAGCTGCTCCACATTGGGGGGGCCACTTTGTAACGGCCTGTTCTGCTGCGGTCCGCGGGTCAGGGTTTAGCAAGAGAGAGAGTGGGGACAGAGGGACGAGAGACGCGAAGAATGGAGACGAGACAGAGTCTACTCTGGAGATGAGACAGAGTCTGCTGAGTCTGCTCTGGAGAGAAAGTCTGCTGCTGGAGATGGAGTCTGAGTCTGTCTGCTCTGTCTAGTCTGTCTGCCTGAGTCTGTCTGAGTCTGTCTCAGTCTAGTCTCTCTGTCTAGTCTAGTCTGTATGCTCTGAGTCTATCTGCTCTGAGTTGGTCTGTCTAGTCTGAGTCTGTCTGGAGACGAAGTCTGTCTGCTCTGACGAGTCTGTCTGCTCTCACTCTGACTGCCTCTGACTGCTCCTTTTATATCTCTGCTGAATCTCTCAAGTGCTGGGATTAAAGGCGTGTGCTACCACTGCCTGGCCTTGACTGAAAGGATCAAGATAATTATCAGAGTGTGCTCAGCTGTTGTAGGCTGTTGAAAACAAGTCTCTTGTCAGGGTACATGGCTCAAGATGGCTGCAACAATTCTAATATGCTAAGAATGAGTTATTCTTCCCAAGGCTTCAGGAGAAGCCTCTTCCCAGCTCCCACACTCAGAGTTTCTGATTCGTTCATTGGGAGTTGGGTCCACACTCAGCCGTCTTTTATAGCTCTCCGAGGAGAATTATTCTGAAAGATTTGACTTACTCCAGTGTTTGCTGACGCTAATCTTGGTTTCTATGACAGGAAGATCAAAATGGAAGGACCGTCTGATGTTGCCTCTATTTCAACTAAACTTCAGAACACTCTGATCCAGTATCACAGCATTGAAGACGATCACTGGCGAGTTGCCAAGAAAGTGGTGCGTAGTTGCTGTTTGGGTATTTAATGTATGGCCAAAGAATTGTCTGATGACTTCTAAAATATTAGGAAAAATATGTGTGATAAATAACGTGCTGAATGGATATACAGTTGATTGTTCAGCAAATGGGATGATGGGTCGTCTTACAAAGAAGTGGACCGGTAGCTCTTTGTTTGTTAGTCTTGATAATAGGTCCATGGCAACGAGAGCAATGGAGAGGTCTCCAGGTCAACAAAGAAAGTCTCACCGTCAGTTTAACCAAGGATGGTCATTGAAAGTTTGCACCGATGTCAGACATGAGGAGCGAGTGAGTGGGCAGTTAGTGTTCTCTTTACCATGTGATTTGGCCAGACTGCCACATGGCTGAGTGTTAGAGCCAAGCCTAGAATCAGGGCTATTCTCTAGTTCTCTAGGTTATATTTAAGAGTCAGATGCGAAATGACTGGGGGAAAGTGTAGGAACTAATTGAATATAACGTAGTCACAATAAGTGTGAATTATTTTAAAAATGCGCGAACAGTTTCAGAATGAAATATTTAATGTTCCTAATATCATAGACTGAATGTATCAGTAATAGTAAATAGCTAAGACCGGAATGAAACTTATAATAACTGCCATTAATATAGTACTACCATTGAATTTTAAAGTCATTGAATCTCTAAGCTACTGACAAATCTGTAAGGTGCAAGATGTAACTACAGTATGATACAGAAGAAATTCAAATGCAGATATCTTTGTGACACGAGTAACTACTATCTCTGAAAATTGGCTTACGTTGCTTTTTAATGCAAAGTTAAGCATTCTGAACTACAGACTTACTTTTGAGTATGAAGGTCCACCCGTGTGATTATCACCGTGTACTGTCTTTGTTTTTCTAGAAAGATGTAACAGTTTGGAGGAAGCCCTCAGAAGAGTTTAATGGGTATCTGTAAGTAAATGCTCAGTTTTCTAATGCATACACGGTAGTGCATGATCAGTGTAAAATTCAGCTTTCATTTTTATGGTTTTAAGCTTCCTGAGAAGCAAGTTGACCATATGAATTCAGGGCCTTAAGAATGGCCAAATACTTGTAGATTGAGTTGGACATAAATAAAGCAGTAGGCAGATACACATCTGAATTTCTTAGCATTATATACATAACCCTTGTAATATTCTACATTGGTAAGTGTTTAGTACTTTTAAAATATGATTCTTTTGAGACAGGGTGGCCTTGAACTCACTATTGTATTGCGTTCTCATGGTCATGGCATGCTTCCTACTCAGTTTCCTGTGTGCATGAATTCCTATGCCCAGATAACATTCTGTTATAAAAATTCTCCTTGAAGATCCCATCAATAAGATAATAGTGATTTATATATTTGATGGCATTATTATGAATATTAAAAACTAGGCATCTTGATACTAAACTTTGAAAGCATTTGTAGTTGGTAGAGTATTGGTAGCCTTTAAATATTATGTTTTAAAAGACTACCTAATAATGAAAGAAAATGTTCATACTATAATACAAATCAAGAGATGAATACTCAGCACAAACATAGGCTTATTTGAAATATATATTTATATTAAAATGTTTTTACCTAAGACAAAATTCATCTCTAAATAGTAGTATTTTGAATAACGTTTGTTCTTCCTTCTCTAATAGTTGAAGATGAATTATGCCTATAGTCAAGAAAAGTATGTTGATTTTTTTTTTAAGCCAGCATGGACAGTTGCCATCTGGAATTAAGTAGAATGTTCAATACTTAAGACTCAGCCCTTTTTAAAAATGAATCTGCTGACCCCACTTCATATATGCAAAATGTTCTGAAGTGCTATACCAAAGATACTATTTCCGGAAAGATGAGTTGTACGCTATTTTTGATGTGGACAGGCAGATTGGGGTTGAACCAAGCATTGTAAGCCGCATAGGAAGTAAGCCTTTCCATCTGTAGCTCCCAGCGGGACTGACAAGCATGGGAAGTGCTGAGGGGACGCCAGTTCAGAGGCTTGAGAAGTGCTGAGGGGACTCCCGTGCAGAGGCTTGAGAAGGTTCCTGGGAGTGCATAGTTTGCTTGAGACTCGAAGAATGGGGGTTTCTTTAAGAACTGAAGGCAAAAGAATTGTCTCTGCTGCTTAAACATGGGTGAGAAGTTTATGTAGGGAGAAGTTGTACCTATGTAGCTCGAGCATCAAGCCTGGGATGTGGAACCAGGCTTTTGAATGGTGCCTCAATTCTATACAAAGAAATGCAGTATCGCATACCCTCTGACCTAGTTCTGTCCTCTGTCGCCTGGTTCTCACAAGGTCTTGAATTTACTGGAGTAATATTGAGAAAGACGGAAGTGATGCATGGGAATTTAAGAAGGGGCTTTATCTGGTTTGCTAATAGCTTCTTGCAGTTCCTCTGGGTTGTATACAGATTTGTGATAGTTTGCAGCTTCTTAGGGAGAGTCCTGTGGCCATTCTTCAGCTCATATCCAGAGACCATTTAAGTTAACTATGTGACAGTTTCAGGAGTGAATGAAGTAGGATCTTGTTAGTGCATATTTAATTACAGTGAAGCCGGGTCTGTTTATTAATGTTTTGGATTATCCTAAATGTGCTTTGTTCGTCTTCTGTTGGATTATCATTTTCATTGATTTTAAAGAAATTACTCATATATTACCTGTATAATTACTGGATGTGCGTTTATATATATTATACATATCCTTTTCAAATCTACGTCTAAAAAGTTCTTAAAAGCCAGTGTAGTCATGTGTGGGTGTAGTTTCTAACATTACAAGAAGACAGAGTCTCACAGCAAACTCTTGGATCCTCCCTAGGTCTTACAGTCTTTCCTCCCTTTCTGTCACGTCCCTTGAGCCTTAGGCTTAGGGGTTGTTTTGAGATATATTTCTAAACATGAGCTGAACATGGATAACTGCATGCCAGAGTGGGAGCGGGCGGAGCCCAGGAGGCCTTAACGCTGCACAAAGAACTGTAGGTAACTAAGGACTGCTGAGTGGGAGAAGTAGTCTCCCCCGGTGAACAGCATATCAGTTGTTATCCAGTACCAAATGGTGAGCCCTGAAAAACATTCATACAAGTAATATACAGGCCGAGCAGGTTATCGTTAGGAATACATGTGCATATACATGTATGCATATAACAACAATTAATGAAGTTGAAAGAGAGAAGTGAGCTCTGTATGAGAAGGCTTAGCAGGAGAAAGGGGAAAAAGGGAAAATGTATATGTACTAATGTCTGAGTAACTAAGCAGAGGGCGGTATTGAATGGAAATTGTGGAATGTCCTGTAGACTGTTTGGGGCTATATTATAATGTGAAGGGACATCACTGTGCCTATGATGACATTAGCATAACTTTTAGTTTTCCAATTTTATTGAGGACAAAGAACATAATTTGACAAAAATAATTGGTAGAATTTTTATCTATTAGACAAGTTGTTAGGATTGTTTTTACTTAATAAAAACCTCCATTGACTTTTATGCCCCTTTATAGTGTTAGCTCTGTGCTGAAATGTTCATTTGGATAGCCTTTCTTTTGGTTCCTTGTCTTCTAGGTATAAAGCTCAAGGAGTTATGGATGACGTGGTCAATAATGTAATAGATCACATACGCCCAGGGCCCTGGCGCTTGGACTGGGACCGGTTAATGACTTCACTGGATATTTTGGAGCATTTTGAGGAGGTATCTGTTTAGTGACATTACTACAGAGGATGTGTGGGCATGCATGCATGTGTGGGTGCATGTGTGAGTCCATGCATGGCAGAAAGACAGAGATAGAGACAGCACAAATGTGAGTATCAACATTTGTATATGCTTACATTCAATACATTAAGGAAAGTAGTCATAGCAACGATACCACGGGAGAGTCCTGTGCTTCCTTCCAAAAGTTGAGTTTCCCCATTCTATGTAGTTAGTTATTTATTCACTTATTTTTTTTTGAGATAAATTCTCACTGTATAGTCTTAAACTTGCTATGGCCTAAAACTTGCAATGTAGACGGAGCTAGCCTTAAACTCAGATCTACCTTCCGTAGACGGAGCTAGCCTTAAACTCAGATCTACCTTCCCCTACTTCTTGAGTGCTGAAATTAAAATTGAGTTTCCTAATTTTAATGAGTGTTAATACTGAGGGTTTTTTTCCCACTACACCTCTACCTTCGTTGATAATCAAAATCTTAAGCATCTTTAATTGTAAAATTTAAGGATCTAGAATCTTAAAGACAGAAAAATGTCACTCCTGTGTTAAGGTTTCCAGTTTAAATGTAGACTTCCAGTTATATTAAATTAAAATCAAAGATCAGAGGTAAAACATGTTGCCTAGACAGCTGTCTAGCTTGTAACCCTTCATTGTATGTATACAATAGGTTCATCTAATTGGCTACTTTAATTGAATTGGCCATTTCTAGTTAAATGGAGATTTAGATACTGAATATGTCTCTGGAGGTTTATATATCATTGTCATGTTCATTCAGTATCATTGACATTTAGGAAAGAGATTATGCCTTCCAGAACCACTGTAGGAATCCCATTCTGATGAGAGAAGATCAAGAGTGTCAGGTTTTACTAGACATTGATCTTGGAATGCGACTCTGTTTCTAATGGTGACCCAGTCTTACCTTTTGTCTTTTTCTAGAATTGTTGTGTGATGCGTTACACCACTGCTGGGCAGCTTTTAAATATTATTTCCCCAAGAGAATTTGTTGATTTCTCCTATACTGTGGGCTATGAAGAAGGACTTTTATCCTGCGGTAATAACCTAAAACTCTTCTTTCTTTAAGTCTACTTCAGATACTTAAAGATTTACCCTGGGTCTTTCTGTATAATACATATTTTTTAAAAGATTGATTTATTTTATGTATATGACTATAGTGTCTTAAGACACACCAGATCCCATTACAGATGGTTGTGAGCCACCATGTGGTTGCTGGGAATTGAACTCAGGACCTCTGGAAAAGCAGTCAGTGCTCTTAACTTCTGAGCCATCTCTCCAGCACCAAGATGTATTTTTTAAACCCTCAATTATTGCTAGTTTTGTTTGTTTATTTTGTGGGTTGGTTGGTTTTTATTTTTAATTCTAAACTCTAGCATTAAATGATAATATTAAAGTAAATTGTAGTATAAGAATTTGGAACCTTGAAGTGTTTCTATGGGAATGTTTTGTTTGGGGCCTTTTTTGAGAAAAACTTTACCATTTAATTGAGAAGATATGTTGTTTCATATTATTATCATGGGGACTTTCTTATTTTTGTATTAGTTACATTTGATCTCTGATAAGTTCACATGTATTATCCTCGCCTGCCCTGGCCTTCCCTTATATGGCGCTTTCTCACATTCATATCTCTGTTTTGTTCTGTGATCCACTGAGTTTAATAACCAGGGCCATCTATGTGACCGAAATTTAGCCTGGTGGGCTCACGAGTGAAAATGGCTCCTTCCCTCCCAGAATGTATCAGTGTTCAATGCTAAGGGGTAGGGTCCTATGAGCCTGTCTTCCCTCAGGTGTTGACAGGATGAGCCTTGTGTGGGCCCAGTGAAGATGACTACAGTTGTGAGTTCAAGACTATTGTAGTTGTACTGAGCTTAGAGGATGGCATTTTGCACCCCTACCCCTGAGACCCTGCTACTGGAATATTCCCTGGGCCTTCCAGGTAAAAATGTCTTGTTTAAGGATGAGCCCTCAACTATGTTTGTTAAATTTTTATTCCCAGTTGCATAATATTTCATCCATAGCAGACACATGACTGATTCTGAGAAAGACATCCAATGACTGATATTTCATTCTAGGCCTTCAAAACAGTTTCTTGGTATATGTACACACACACACACACTTACACACTTGATATTTTAAAGAAAAAAATTTCTTCTTTGAATTGTGTTGTCTTTCTCTAAAAATATTGCTACTAGAAGCCTCCTATTTTTAAAGTATGTAGATAAATTAATACTTAGTTATGTGTAGTGCACACTTGAGTTGTTTATCTCACTGGTGAGTACTAAAGTTGGGGCTGGCAGTGCCTGTGTGGGAAGTGGTTATGGTGCTATGCATCTTGTTCTTGTCACTCTGTGACTTGGATGATACTGTGTCATCTATTCTGAAGGGATTAGAATTTTCCCTATTACTTATCTTCCAATTCTGTGCCAGAATTCTCTTTGGTAATTATCTTCCTCATTTTGCTGTGCTCAAAACTCCTGGGGATTAATTTTCATTAGTATGGATAGGAAGAAAACTATTTAAACAAGAAATCTAATAATATTTTTTAAATGAGAGTTTGGGGGAAAATACCAGTTATTGCTGTTAATGATGCTATTTTAAAACTGTCTTGTAGGGGTAAGTGTTGAATGGAGTGAGACGAGACCAGAGTTTGTCCGTGGCTATAACCATCCCTGCGGCTGGTTCTGTGTTCCACTCAAAGACAATCCCAACCAGAGTCTTCTGACAGGCTATATTCAGACAGACCTGCGTGGCATGATCCCTCAGTCTGCAGTAGACACAGCAATGGCAAGCACATTGGCCAACTTCTACAGTGATTTGCGAAGAGCTTTACAAAAGGCATAATGTGTCCAACTCATAGTGCTTTGGTTTGCTGACTCTGCTCTTGCCCTCAGCTACATGACCTGTAGAAGGCATCAGTTCCTGCCTGCTGCGGCAGCCTATGGAAACTTTGGAGGTGTTATAGGGGCCAGAGTACAATCTTATTTTCTATTAAAAGTAAATAGCTATGTAAATAGGGCATTTAGAATTTCTTAAAAGTTTTATTTGCACCTTGTTTGGTTGTGAAAGTGTGTCTGTGAATGGAAAGGATGAAATGCCAAGATTTAGGTACAGGCTAAGTGTAGTCTGTTCACACGGGTCAAATAGTACCTTGGGAGGAAGCTTTTGGCTGCTTAAAAATTACAAAGTGTGCAAACTCAATGCTATTCATATTATTTTGGAGCTTTTTGGACATTTTGTAGAATTGCAATGGTTCCTGATGTAAATGTTCATTTCTCTTGCTGTGCTCTGTGAGTTTGCCAATAGCTTGGACAAAAGGGAAAAGTCCTCCTTAGTCTGTAAAGATGAAGGCCACTATGCATTGACTTGTGCAATGTTAAACATTAGAAAGACCACAGGTGACAAGAATGGCCATTCTTGTAACCATAGGTACAAGTCAATAGCATTTTGTTTTGATACCTAGGTAATGTTCTTCTGCAAAGTTTGTAAAACTTTGTAAAGACACAGACTTGTGTCCTTATGTGCATTTGTTCTGGGAGTGACTGGAAATAGCCAGGTATGCACTGGTGACATCACACTGAGCAGTAGCTGTCACTGGAGAAACCACCTAGTGCTGTCCCTGTCACCAGCAAACAGTCAGTACTAAAAAGTCAGATTCAATGACTGTTCTATACATACTTCAACTTGAAGCTACAAAGTGCATGCTAAAAAATTCACAGTGTTGATGTAATCTGAAATCATAGCAGAAGCATCACTAGATCAGCTAGGTGTTTAGATGTCCTGGTATGACCAGAATGAAGTGTGAATGGAGCTGTCTTATGTGAACATTCCTTCATGGCTAGGACATTCCAAATCATTCTTTGACTTTTGAATATCAACCTAGTTTATTTGTAAAATGGACATCTGCGGTGACTCAGTGTCCACACCGTTCTGTGTTTGTGTGAATATGCAACACTGAGTTCCGTATGTGTTACTACTTGTGCTACTCACTGGCCTTCCTTCTCATCAGCTTAGCCCTCCGGACCTCCCACTGCAAGTAAAACAACCCTCGTGGAAATGTTTTCATTGCCATTGTGAGTTTCACTGTGGGTTCAGAAGTTACATGTGAGCTGTCTGAAACTTACGTTCATTAATGTAGAGTTCGCGTAATCTACAGTTTACCTGTGGTAAAAATTTGAGTGTTCTTAAAAAAATATTTTGAAGAGTTGTGCAGCCATCACCGCTATGCAGTTTAGAACGTTTCTGTCGCCCCCCCAAAGATCCCTTTTTTCCTGTGTACACTGTGTATAGTCATCTAACCAGCATTTATCCCAGTTGCCAGTCAGTATAGCGAGTGGATAAGAAAGATGACATCAGAGCTTGCTGGGTTTTACTTCTGAGAGTAGAGGTGTGTGTGTGCATTTGCGTGTGGGTGTGAATTTAAGCTCAGGAACATTTATATGTTTTAAGTGTGTTATCTTGAGTATTATAAAAATGAGTGAAATGAGGATGATACTTGGGATAGTTGGATCTGCTGCTTCTGGAGCAGTCCTATTACAGGAAAATAATACAAGCCATATATGTAACTTAAGTATCCTAGCAGATACTTAATATAAGTATCTAAGTATATAAGTATCCTAGCAGAGGCTGCAGAGATGTCAGTACTGAAAGACCATTTGCTGCTCTTGCAGAAGCACCCACGGGGTAGGGGTTGGGGCTTATAGCTGTCCATAGCTCCAGTTCTGGAGGATCTTGCACCCTCTGGCCTCTGCAGACACAAGGCATGTACATAGTGCATACATGCACACATACATAGAAAAAATATGCAGCTGAAACTCATTGTAGCAATGTTTTCTTTAACTCTATATCCAAAGTATTTCAGTACACAGCTGATGTAAAAGGTATTGAGATACCTCACAGTGTCTGTTAACTCTTTGAACAGGGTGGGTATTTTACCACTGTGGACTCAGCATACTTCAAGCACTCATTTTCCACACGAGGCCTGCAGCTGTTACAATGAGTCACACAAGCCTACACAGTTCCTTTCAGTTACCTTGCTGTAAGACGAAGTGGACACCTCACGAATTGCTTCCTTCAACAGAACCTTTTATAGCTGAGCACTTTCAGTTCCTGCTGCAGAAGATGTCTACTTTAGAAATGTACATACAAAAATTACTGGTTCCCAGCAAATTAAAAATTATTGCCTCAAAATTATTTTCACTAAAAGTAATTTTTGATAGGACAGTGAAGGAAAAGTATAACCTATCACATTCCTGTGTGGCTGAGCATTTCCTGTAGCTTACAGTTTGCTAAGGAAATGTATGTCACACTCTGGAAATACGTACCATAGTGTTCTGTTCAGGAGACACTGCTCTTTTAAGATGAAATTAGTTTCATATAAGTGGCATTTTGGTAGGAAATACTGGTTTTTGTTTAAAGAAAAAAGTCTTGATTACTCTTCAATGATTAAAGCAATACTCAGCAAAAATAGTAGTAGTATTCTTAGTCTTCTGTGCTATAAACCCCTGGGGTATTATAAACATCAGGATTTCTTTCCTGTTCCATGCACACAATGGGTGTATTTGAAACGGGGTTTCCAAGTGTAAAACTATGTCCTAGTTAACAGAATGTTTCCTCTTCATCTACCTGTCTTTTCTACTTGAGGATCATTTGACTAGTATTTAGTGAACTAAGCTAATGTCTCAAGGTAAGACTGTAGCTTTATCTGGAGAAGCAGAGGAAACATGCCAGCCTTTGTCCCTCGTCTCGAACTGTTGGGTCTGAGAAATCCCCTTTGCTGTGAATGGCAGCTTTGTGTGTGTGTGAAAGCACAGTAGCCTCTTGAGGACCAGATGCTAAGCTCAATGGCTGTTGTAGCTTTCTGAACCCAAAAGAGAAGCTACCAGAACCAGAGAAGCTCATGGAAATCTGGATTTGATAAGGACTCCTTTAAAACTTACATGGATCCTTGACCAGGCCCTTCCACCCTTCCTTCTTTTCCTGTGGTACCGAGGCCTAGTGCATGCTGGGACTGAGCTACACTTCTGGCCTCACGGTGAGCACACTATAGGGTGGTGAAATCTGACCATAGAAGAAGCCTGAGCTCCTTCTACAGTGCGGGACTGGAATTACAGTTTCATTGTCATTTCCAGGGATTCTACAAGTACTGCTGTGTCCTAAAATTCATCAAATGACGATTATATTATACTAAGATCATTTTGAGGAAGTCTATCATTTTATGAATCTGTATATGGAATTAGAATAAAGGACTGCTGATATAAATGAGATGTATATTTTTTAAATTACAGTCGAGTATCTGAATAAAGATTTCTAGACAATCTTGTCACTGGTCATTGATCTTGTTTATGTATGTTAACTTTAACCTTAAGTACTAACCAAATGCTTATTTATCTAAATTTAGAGAATATCATTTAACTACTTGAGCTGTTTAAAAAGTATAAATCTGGAAAATAAAGTTAACACATGCTACTCTGCCAATGTTTCATATAATATTAGCAACAATACTACTAAATCTTTATTTGCAACCTTACATTGCAATAATAACATACTCAAGGAAATTAACTGATAAAGGGAAGAGGTTGATTTTGGCAAACACGTTTGAGGGTCCAGAGTTCAGTAGCTTTGCCTTTGGCCTCTAGTAGGAGCAGCATCGTAGAGTAGTAGCATGTGCTGAGGAAAAGCAAGCAAATGCAAAAAAAAACAAAACAAAAAAAAAAAACATGCTTACCTCTGGATCCAGAATATGAAGAGAGGAAAGAAGACCAGAGTCTCATGCCCCTTTCAGAGTGTCCCTGGTAACTTGGATACCTTGCATTAGGTACCACCTCATAGAACCACTGGGACCAAGTTTTAAGTGTATAGCTCTTTGTGGAGGCGTTCGGCATCCAAATGATAGCAGCTCTGACATAGCTTGGGAAAATGTACAGTAACTACAGTTGTCAGGTGCATACTCAAGTAATTGTGCTAAGCTGGCTACAGGTAGTAGATACTTTAATCAGAAATTGGAAATCGTTACTAGGACACCTATAATCTAGGTTATAAAAAGTAACGGGATGATGTGGTAATGGAAAACATGAATATGAAGTGGCATATACAGAGTCTCCTCAGTGGACATCTGGCTATGTTACCTGTCCCTGATGGCTTTGGGAGGGGATTAAGTCCCTCTCATAGTTATCTAATGTATGGACAGTAAGAAGGCCACCTAGACCAGATGACAAACCTCCAGGCACTTTATCTTGGCCTTTCCTCCAGAAGTGCTAGAAATAAGTTTGTTCATAATACAGCCAGTTTATGATATTTTGTTATGGTAGCTGGAATGGATTTAAACATCTGGATACAGGTAATCACTAATGTTTTTCAACTGAAGAGTCTAAGAACCAATGTTTCTGCAGTTGTCTTGATCTTTGTTAAGGCAGAACTGACCAGCCCTGGGGATTGATTGCAATTGCGTTCAAGTTGAGAAGAAGGCAAAGAGATGGCTCTGCCTGCCTGCCTGCCTGCCTGCCTGCCTGCCTGCCTGCCTGCCTGCCTGCCTGTCTCTGACCCCACTCCCCCCTATAATTAAGACTCTAACAGTGTCTGGGAGCAAGAATGAGGATTCCCAGCTTGTTGGAGTGTTTGCCAGTGGTGCCTTTAGATAACCAGCTGTAACACTGCCACAGCTTCAGCTTTGGGAGGTGTCTGTGAGGTTTCTCTGGATGCTGTATGGGAAAATAATGCCCCCACCCCTAACATAATGAAAATATTGTCTTACTGGATTAAGAAACATTTTGGAACCCCTTCTAATGACAGATGCTACATGGCTATCATTCCCCTGGTTCATGAGGTGAGGGAGTCTCCCTCACGGTAACCAATAGCCATTGTTACATGGCATCTGAAAGTACTGCATTATTACCATGTTCCTATTGCTGTGAGCAAAATGTCCAGTTTATACATAAGCTTTTGTAACCAAGACATGACCCAAAATAGAGTGTTAAATAGAATACACTACAAATGCATCTGGGGAGAGCAGGCACATATCTATCCATGCTCAGGTGTGGTGGCTGAGAACCAATAAGCACAGTGCTGCCTGTGGTTCAGCCCAGTTCTCACCACTTAAATGTCAGTCTTCTGGACACTGTATCAACTCATCTGAAAACTGGTAAGAAAACACAGAGCAGCAGATGTGGGTGGTTGGAGAACTGGAGGATTTTAAACAAAACCATAGAAGTAGGCGTACCAAAATGAAATGTTTGTTCATTAGAATTCTTTCCTGCAGTCTTAAGTCCTATTTATGCTTTGCTTTGGTGAGATCTCAGTATAGGGCAGGTGACTTTATTAAGGGAAGTCGAGAGGCTGCAAAACCCACAATGAAGTAAATACATGACTGTCAAGTTGTCTTGTGGAACTCATTGACTTACTGAGGGGGTTCCTAAGTTTCTCAATTATTTCCCTCTATTTCCTCAACTGAGCCTCAACCTTAGGATATCAGTGTTTTCTCAGCAAAGGAGGAATCTTGGACAGAATGGTGGTGAACATAAAAAACATGTTAATATAATGATTTGTACGGAAAGCTCTGCAAATATGTAAGTAAAACTCGATACTAGAAAAAAAGACAATAGCTTTTGGAGAGTGTTGCAGTAGTTTTCTCTGTTTCCGTATCTTCTCGTCTTCATAAGGAAAAGTCGGTTTTCAGATGAGTTGATGTGGTGTCCAGGAGAGTGACATGTTAGTGGTGAGAACTGGGCTCAACATCGAGCAGCAATAAGCTCAGGCACCACGAGCTTAATGTTAGCAGACAGCTGCGTAGGTGTGATGCCTGCCTTTGATGAGTTTATTGCAGGAAATAATTATTAATGTCCCTTTCTAGCATTATTGATTCACAGTCTTTAGAAGATAAATACCTGGGCATGTACATATATAAAAACACTCAGTTTTATCTGAGAGAATGGAAGAATGAAGAATTCAGCTGTGCATTTCACTTCGGAGGAAAATGTTCATGGTACCTCGTGATTCACACAAACGTTCAAATCACAGAATGCAAAGCTCTGGTGGGCTCTTAGATGATTTATTGTCACATTGTACATGCAGATTCTTTTACAGATTGACCAGTTGCAAGGTACTGGTAGCTTCCTTTGGCATGTTATGACAGCCTGGGTGAACTCAGTTACACTGGCCCTCTCTAAAGTCAGTCTATAGTTCATCTGGCGGCCTTGGCTTTGCCCACAGCACACATCCTTCAAGTCCTTGGCCAACACCCCTACTATCACCAAAGGAGCATACTTAATCCTTGGACTCGATTGTCCAACCTGCATCCAAGGAGAACTTAATGAGCTGTCAAATGTTGGAGATTTTTGGCAGTTGAGAGAGAGCCAATGGCTGTCCTGTTCCCTTAATAGAAAATGTGAACTCAGGTCAGTCACCCACACTGAAGAACACAGTACCTCAACTGTTAGCAAATGGGCATGGTTTTGATGAATTCTTTGCAAACATTTTATGTATTTACATTTATAGCCAAGCCGGGCTTAACACACTAAAAATATTATAATTCTATCTTTGTATTAAGGAATCAATAGCACCATTTTGACACATTTAGAAAATGAAATGTTCACAGCTCCGTCTAAGGACTTTGTGTTAGAAAGTGAAAAAGCCACCCACAGTCTTAGCTGTGTAAATTAAGGTACTTAGACTTTCTCCTCCATGTCACACAAGGTCTTGCTTTGGGTTAATGACTTGTGATGCAGACTACTGGAAATCTGGGTTTCTTTCATGGGATGGTATTCTCTCCTCCTCCATGTTGTTATTGAAGCTTCTTATGTCCCATTAATCCAAAACGCTTTCAACACCCAACGATGTAAATTTCCTGACAAAGTGTCAACAAGAACATCTCAGATAACTCCATCTTAGCCAGAAAACCCCTCATAGCAAGTGCTCCTTTCTTAGTGTCCACTAACTTGTTCTGTGTCCTAACAGCATCTTTATTTCTTAGCATCTTTTCCCCCTCAACTGAGATATAGTCTTTGTCTCCACCTCTCCTCATTTCATTTATCATGAAGTAATGTAGCCATCCACTATCCACAAACATCGTGAGAAATAAACAAAGGTGTACAAGCCAGAGTAGTCACAGTGTAATCTAATTCTAATGGGTAATTTTAAAAAGGTATCTTGAAGATGAAGGGAAAAATAGTACCTCCGATAAGGGATATAATAAATTCTTTAGATTTTATATAATTTATAGTTATAAATGTATAGATTATAAACACTGGAAAGAAGAGGGAAGAATTTAAAACCTGGCAGGACCAGCTTGAGGTTTGAAGATTAGCTGTAGAGTAGCAAACATGTCTTCAATCTGTTGGATGATTTTTATCCTATTAGCTATGTACCAGGAGGCTAGCCAAGTAGCAGGGGGCGGTGCCCTGCAGAAGAGCTGCCCCTGCATCTGTCCAGAGTAAGAAAGCAAGGAACTCAGATGAGATCTGAGATGGCTCCACACGCTATAACACTTCACTGGGTACCTCTGCCTTTTTCATTGAGTATTAATCTCCTCCTTGATCATCTCCACCCTGGCCTGGCCATTCCTTAGTCAAACATGTCCTTTTTCTCCACCTCAACCTTAAAGATGGGTGCATCCTTCAAAACGAGCTGTGTTCCCATGAAGCTTTCCTTGCCCATTCTTGGCATGAGACTGTTCTCCCCTTTCCTACCCTGGAAAGCTTACCATCTGTAGGTATTCCACACAGGCTATGTGTGGTTACTTACCTTTTCTTTCCAACTAAAAGTCTCCCCCTGAAGGGTAGCACTATGCTTAATTTATTTCTGACTCCTGTACTGCTAGTAAGGGCTTGTCAGTGAAAATTTACTATGGAAAAAGAGTTCCTGGAATGGTCTATTTCTGGGAAGCTTTTGCTGTTAGTGAATCATACTCTTAAAGGTAGCTTTCCACGTAGGCCAAATATCTCTAACCAATGCTATTTAATTTCTAAAAGTAGATACTAACTTTCACCTACTCATTTTAAGGTTTGAAGAATATCAATAACTGCATTCAAACTCTGAGCTATCCTAGAAGACTGGCAGATAAGAACGTGGAGTCCTAATATTATGTGACCTTTCCCTCTCTCGTTCCAGCAGTCTGCTTCCTACCCTTGTCACCACCAGGGCTCAGAGAAGGACTCCTACCATTTGTTCCCATATTTTGTAACATCCCAGTGGCTATACCATCTTACTGATTGCTGAAACTGTTTAAAGAAATGAGTATGCTGGGAACTGTAGCTATTCCCAATGATAGGTTGACAAAGGTCTCCTACTCAGTATCTCATCTGTGACCTTTGTGGTTACAAAGTTGAC